CTAGCTGCCTTTGATCATAGGTGCCTGCGTTCTATTTCCCGTGTAAAGTGGCATAATAAGGTGAGCAACATGGAGGTTAGGCGTAGAGTTCTAGGTAAACAGGGGAAATCAATCGACGAAGTCGTGAAGCTACATCGACTGAGATGGTTAGGACATGTGTTACGTATGCCAAGTCATCGCCTCCCTCGACGAGCTATGTTAGCGGATATAGGGTCAGGCTGGAAAAAAGCTAGCGGCGGTCAAACAAAAACTTGCCACCAGTCAATGAAATCCACAACAGTTGGTCTAAGCCAGTCACGTAGGAAGGTGTAGACTTCCAGGCTGGGGTCCTCGGGACGGTAAAAATCTATGGTTGGAAACAATTGGCGACATGGCTCAAAACCGTTCTCAGTGGCTAGCGCAGATGCATCCACTACTTGTGACTTATGATTTCCAATGAAACTGTTTTGTTCTTCGTTATTACTCCTCCTTTGTCTCACACCTCTGCTCACTGTTTCTATTATGCTTTTCTTGTACTTTCTTCTCTTGCTTCGCGTGCTACACGGAATGTGGCGACTTGAACTTCCGCACATTTGTGCAAAGTTCTATGTCGAAAACAGACAGACAGACAGACAGACATACGACTAAACTTCATGTACGCATTAGTATCGATGAGATTATTTTAGGCTTCATTAATGACCGTGAAAATTAGATTTCATCATGAATTGCTAACAGTCAAAGAGAGGTTGGAAACTATTGAAAGGTGAATTGCTCTTCTGTCCTACTTGAACATTATCGTGAAATGAGTACTGAACAAAAAAGTAATCAATGAAATTCCCACAAATCCAACTTTTGAAAGACAGCTGATTAGGTGTCTATTGCTTTTGAGAATAGATAATACTCCAAATAATGATGTTTTGGTTGATGGAGAATAGCAGTGGAATTCAAGATGGTTTGGAGGATTTCATCATGGGACTACTGGAGAGCTAGTTCGTCCACCTAGTTTTGGACACTTCAACAGCATGCACCCACCGTCAGGATTCAATCCTTGGGATTTTCTGGTTACAAGGCGAGCTCGTAGACCATTAAGCCACTGGGACTCTATAAATGACCAAAGATACTAAAAGACACCCTTGGTGGAACTCTTTTGGTTAGCAATGTCAAGCTTCTCCACAGCGGTGAACGAGTATTCACTCATTTCATGAAATATTCATGCATTATTACTATTGTTTTTCTTGAGTTCCACGTGGAAAATAAGGCCTAAACAGTACATCTCCACTTTTTCCTTCTCTCTCTGCAGTCCTATTTAGCTGGTTACAACGATTGTCCATAGTCTGTAGTCTCTTCCTCATACAATCTTCCCCATGTCAGCCTTGAATGACCAATTCATCATTTCCTATTCCGGTTCCACTCGAGAATCTGGAGCGTGATTTCATCCACAGGGGTCTCCTCAGCCTGTGTCCTTGTGTGTGCAATTGGTACTTTTTGTTGTTGTTGTTGTTGATTGGTTACCTTCATCACCTCTGTCTTCCCTACTTTCTCGTGACGTCCTGTCTTCGTTTCTACTTCTACCATTTTTTGGTTTTCCCTGTAAGTCTTCGAGTTTGTGGGACAATAGGCATAAGTCGTCCATGGAGACCAGTTCTTCTAGAATCTTCTTATCAGTCAACATATTCATGTCTTCTCGCTCCCTCCTCCCATCGTCTTACGCATAATCAAGTCCACCGAAATTAGGAATATCATCGGTGGTAGTGAGCATTCTTTTCTTACTCCTCTAATCACTTCAATGGTTAATAATTGTGATATGTATCCATATATATATATATATATGTGTATGGTGATCTCTCTTTCTGTTTACTCGCTTAGTCTGTGACCATTTAACTCTGATGAACCTGTCTCCTTTAACAATGTATATTCCCCTTATATTATATATAATATGAGTGTTTGTTGAGAGTCCGTTGCTTGGTGACAGATATCCATATTATATGTGTGGTTGTTGACATGTCTGCTATATTTAGCTATGTATATATGGATCGATACTTCATTTTAATTAGCCATTCATGTTAAGACTATCTATTGATTTGTTCACACCCTTGTCTGGACATTCATATATATTTCGCTCTCACAATCTTGTGTGACACTTTGGTGTGATACCACTTTTGCATTCTCCTTGTGTTTGGAAAATAGAAGTATCATCGCAAACCTAGTGGTCTTCTGATTTCCGTCTTTCTTGCGTCAGGACTATTAAATTCTCGACCAGTACATAACAATAATTTGGTCGACGAGTACATAACAATTTGGTTATATTAGACTGTAATACTTTGTTGCTATTGAGTCTTGAGTGACATGAACACTTACAATAAACACTTCGTAGGTGATCAATAAAAGTGTATCATAGTAACTATATGTAGGTTACTTCCAATGTAGATTTCATCACGAAAGGACATATAGGCTAGAGAATCCCTGAAAAGGAAAGGGTAGTGTCATTTCTTGGATTAAAACTCTTTAGTAGCTCACTCCCATAAGCCTGTTATAGGTCGAACTCAGGATTTTCTTGACACGATTCTGGCTTATAACTAGGTTGTAATTCAATGACACGAGAATTTTAAGTCCTCTTCATGCATACGATAAAGTATTATCTTCGAATAGTGATACAGATGAGAATCCACTTTACCCGGAGAAAGTGGTTACCTCTTCTAATTAGAACTTCAAAACATCCACCAAGTAGCCATTAATCAGCTGAAAATCGATATTCACATATTTGGATTTTGTGGGTATTATGATTAATTGCAACACTCATTAATAATCCCCATTCAGGCATTAATGAAAAGAAAACACGTGTAGTTCAGTGAAGAGTCTATTTTCGGCGACGAATTCACTTTATTAGATGTACTATCGCAGATATTATACGGGTTATTTTGTATGCATGTGGACACGAAGTTTGTCAAGGAAAAATACAATTCGTTATGGTTACTTAAACTAAACAGGTGAAAATGAGTGAGTTTTGGGCGGAGTTACGCAATACAAAATCGGTCAAGAAAATTGGGTGTTAATGAAAATGGGGTAGAAACAAAGGTGGACAAACAAAATTAAGGCATCAAAAACCAACAAACTTGTTACCATGTCTGTAGAAGTAGTTTAGTAGTCCTCTTTTGTATGCACAGCTTCAATTTTTCTGTGTGAATGGCCAGAGCTTCTACAATACAAAGAACACGAAACTGTATTGGTTTTGGTAAGCTATTCTTGATTCTGTAGATTACTTTGAAACAGGAGGCGTTTGTAAAGATGGAATGATCAGTGTTAACCAGGTCTTCAACTACCGCACTCCTTATAGCACCACTATTGCCTTTTCGCAGCCATGCTGGGTAGTGTTCTTGGATCCTATTGGATAGGATGCGCGTCGAACGATCGATGTACCTGGCTCCACAGCAGCAAGTGAACTGATATATGCACATGGAAGTGGTCAAATGCGAGATCTTGTCCCCAAGGCTTCTGCAGATCATTGGTTGACTGGAGAACACTATTCTTAGCGTTGCTGCAAAGAATGTTCCTCTCAGAGATGATGCGATTCTTCTCTGAAGATTACCGCTTGTTAATTCTCCCTTAAAATCTAAGTTCATGTAGAGTTTCTTTCTCGGCGCAAGTGAAGTTTCATTTCTCCAAATTCTTGGTTTTATATTTTTAATCGATTGATCTTCGTGAGTATCCATTTTGGATGAAGATTTTTCTCAAAAGATCTAATTCTGTTTCTAGAACATCGGGATTACAGATGCGTTGGATGCGGATGGCAAGGGATTTAATTAAATTCCGCTTTTGTGTCGAATGGGTACCCAGCTATAGGAGCTTGTTAGCTGACCATTGTTGATTTTTTGATGACTTAATTTCGTGTGTTTGCCTGTTTCTTTAATCGCTTATAATTCTTGTATTCATTTACGACTCTTACACAATTTCGTGTCCCATACTTTGTTTCTATATGCATCCTGAGTAAAACTCACTCATCAGACTATTCATATTGTTACATCACTTCTTTTAACAACTGGTTGTGACAACTCATCACCTTCGTTACTACCTTAGTTTCACTAACACCCAATTTTCTTGATCGTTTTTGTATTAAGTTACTCTACCCAAAACTCACTAATTCTCGCCTGTTTAGTTAAAATGACCATAACTAATTGCATTTTTGTTTGACAAACTTAATATACACATATATACTTAATAAAATCACCTATATATATATATATATATATATATATATATATATATATATATTTGCGACTTTACAGCTGTGAAAATGAATTTGTCGCCGAAAAGAATCTCTTCGCTGAACTATACGTGCTTTCTTTTCATTAATTTCAATATAGCTTTCGTCATGAACCGATACCTCACTCAGTGAATGAATAAAGTTTTCTGGTTGAGTATGCACTGCAGTAGGTGTGTTTGACAAGAATTTTAGGTAGCAATATATAACTAATAGGATGGCTACTATTCCACCAATTATAATAAGCTATTTAATTGAATTTAGATTTTCCCATCCAGGTGACGGGTCCCACACAGGACGAAATGCACATTATCCTGGATTCCACTGCTAGTCACCATGCACCAATTAAATTCTAATTACATGCTCGGACACTGTCGAGGCATCTGCACAAGAAGCCGACAGACATGTCAACCTGAGACTGAGCACTTCGGTTCAATGGATCAATCGATGGGAAAATCTAAAAATCAATTAAAAAATTAATATAACCCGTTGCACAGGAGACAGTGGCCATCGTGCCCCAAGTGGTCTAGTGGATAACGCTTTAGTGTGGGAAACTATATGCACTGGGTTAGAACCTCAAGGGGAAATCCTCACTTGCTGGGGAATGCCGGTACATCAAATAGCTGACGAGTCTCAAATAGAACGAAATGCCTACCCTGGAATCCACTACTGGTCACCATCTACCAGTTCAACTCCTTAGCAAGCTGTATTTAGAAATATCATTTTTAGCACAGAATCTAATTAAATATTTTGTTTTCCACAGGTCGTAATAAAGAGAAGCGACAAAATGAATTACAATATGGAGGTGATTTGAGTGTAAAGAAATCTGACATCACATTAGATAATAAAGACACCAGTGAAGGAATTACTCAAGAGGAAACAAATCATCATAATCAGTCAATATACACTGATAAAGAAATTTGTGAAAATAAAATAAACATTATCGAAGAAAATCTAAACTTGATAATTTATACATCAAAGTACAATGTACAAAAATGTTTTAAATCTATAGGATTTAACTTAAATGTGCCAGAAATCCATATATTTCAAGTACCAAACAATTCTCTTCAATCTATGAATTCAATATCAACAGATTTAACTATACAAAATGCTAAACAGTTGGTTGAAGAACTAACATCACGACCCAATAAAATGAATTCATCGTCTTGTCTGCAAACTGCAACTGATAAATTTCAATTAAATAGTCTAGAAAATATTCAAATGTCTGATCTATACGACAAGTATTCATATTCAGATGAACAATTTCAAAACTGTACCAACCAAATGAAATTTGATAAAGGTGTTCAATGTCACTTATGCTGTAAACAGTCCATACAGCTACAGCAATCCTCCAAAACAAATCAACAGTCTGAGGAAGAAGAAGGAGAAGACAAGTTAAATAACTCTGAAAAACTGTCGGGTAATGAAAACTCGTATGGAGTAGAGGTTAACGGAGACAAAATAAAGAAGCCATCGCATAAAATTCCAATTCTATCGGTTAACAGCATTGAAATTATAGATTCTACATATTATGATTCGCCTACATACTCAGAAACAACCCTATACGACGAAAATGCTTTTTCTTTAAATGATTCACAATGTGGTCAATCTTTTGATTTGATACAAAAAGAAATGTCATACAATGCAGTAGTCAAGCAGGGGGATACAATCGAGCAGAGTGAAAAAACAATGACTACAAATCATGTAACAGAGACATGTGGTAGAACAAATCAAATCAGACTGATAGATACTGATGTACAATTTGAATATGAAAATGAAGATACAACATCTATTACTACACAGGATGTAACTAGTCAATCAGAAGGACCAAATAACATTGACATTACAAAGGAAGGAAATATTTGTACACCAACTGTTCAAGAGAAACTATTAAAATGTTCAATAATCAATGAGATTGAATCGACTCAATCATTGAACATTGATAAGGAATCTACAAAATCATTTAAATCTTATTTATCAGATCACAGTTCCACACAGTGTATTAGTCAATATGAAAAGCAGATAAAAGATGACAATGAGATTGAAGAGAAAGAAGTTGAAGATACACATTATCCCGATAAATCCATTACAACAGACAGTGAATATTTAATACAGTCAAATGATCAAGAAACCATTCAGTCCACTCGACCAACATATGTTCGAGTAGTAGATAGATTAGGATATTGTTTGAACGGAAGACTTGAAGCTTTTAACACAAATGACAATGACTATATACAGATATTAGCACCAGTCAATTATTTACCTAAAGATTTAACAAGAATCAAACTGTACAATCTACTTCAGCAGGGTGAAGTTGAGGAAAAACTCGGAAAAATTTGTCAATCAGACATCAGTGTACCGCATGAGAATTTATTAGACAAGTTAATAAATCAGACATATGTAGATAATAAAAATCAAGTGATTTCAACTGCCAGATCAGAAATTGGTGATCACATCCAGTTGTATCCAAAGAGTGAAGTAAATTCTCAATAGTAATGCCTTATTTCAAGCTGAGCTTCAACTTTACAATCAAAGTCTATTCCTCAAATGAGTAGTTGGCATGTTGAACAATTTGTAACTTAATGTGCGAAAATTGAAGTGAAGAAATGCCTTCATTTAGTTTAAATATTAACGACTGGCAGTTTAATGAATGTTTAAATTACCGTGCAACACGGTTTATCATTTCGGATTTTATTTGTGGACACTGTCTTCGGAAATAATTTTATTTTCGGTCTTTTTTACGCTATGTTTATTTATTTAATACTTTGATTTATCTTAGTTGTGTAATAGTTTTCCCATTATGTTTATTTGCTTTTAAAAGTACTGATTCTGTTTGAAACTTTGATTCAAATAATACACAAATATTCTGACTTTTTAGAGGCGTTTGGTATTCCTGTAGCATGGTTTTTATAGCGCCATATACTACTGACCAGTGGATATGAGTAGGTGGAGACCATTCACTTCAACCTGTTGTGCTTGCTGACTCATCAGATCGAAGCTATCTAAGCACAAGAATGCCGCCCCTTTTGTTTAACATTGGGCTTATCAGTAGTGTGCGTCGTTCGTCTCAACTTAGAGAACTGCATCAGTTCAAACCGCCTGGATGAAATATTAAGGCATACAGTTTGGCTAACAACAACTACTGGTCGATGTGAGTACTGTCTATTGGCCACCATCAGTCGGCCTATGTTTTGATCAAGAACGTATGTTTGTCTAAACAATTGACATTTATGGTATCACAGTGACCACATATTATTATCTGAATAATTTGTTTCCAAGGATAACTGTGATGCATTTTCACCCTGAACAATGCAACTTGCAAATTGCAGGCTTTGTTCTATGACACAGGAGGCTTTTGTTAAAACCGAGTGGTTCCGCATTTATTGATTAGTTCATACGTATCTTTCAGACTTACAAATAACATGTCATTAGTCTGAGCCATGCGAATGAAAATCACAAGTCTTAAATTAGTGGATAATATTTATAGCTCATTATGGATGTTCACGATGTTAAAATGTCCCCTGAGCTGTTTGATTTAATCACCACGCTCTCATTCATCTTCTGGAAGAAACCCCGGGCCGTAAGTTCAATGTAAATTGAGCTTTGGAAATTCCCAATTTATGAAGGATTTGTGTCTCCTGCCAACCTTGATTCACCCTGCTGTGTTTATGGATTTTCTTATGATTTTACTCACCTGTATTGGCATCGTTTTCCCCGTTGATATGAAGTTAGACCTTACGGACGCGTGACCTATTCTGTACTGATTGACAATTTAAAGTCACAAATTCATTATTTATAGGTGATGTCAGTACCGCTCCTTAAGGAATTCTCCGGCAGTTTTTGTCTCTCCTGCAGGATTCTTTCACTGTTCCAGCTGAACTGTTTTCCATAGAAGTCCGTGTGAACCGACATGAATCCTTGCTTTAGTTCATGGCTGGGGAGATTCAGAAGACCTAACCTTCCTTGAACATAGCGTTTTCCAGCCAAAGGTTATATGTCAGATCAATAAGGAAAGTAATATTAACACGGGTAGATGCAGTCGTGGGGGAATCTACAGGAACTACCGGGCACAATGAGTATAGACAGAAAAAACGAATATTTCATCCATGGGTGACCCACGAAGCTACATTCACATTGAGACTACAGTTGAGGGCTTTTTCATACAGATTAGGAAAACCTCGACATTACATCGGCCAGCTAGGAGAATATGACGGCATAAAAGACTGTAGATATTTTGTATGATGTCGTAATGATAGATAATACCCTAAAACCGTTGGCCTAAAGCATTCATCACAACGCTGGATGCCAACCGTCAACATCTTCGGTCAACCGGTTTAGCTGACGGCTCGAGGAAAACACCCACGCCATTTGACACGCTGCCGTGTTTTGTTCGATTGTGTGTGCATGATCCGTAGTTAGTTAAGCAATCGTCTATGCACTGCCATTTTGCCCAAGTAATATGCCTCGCATTTCGCACGATCGACTTGGTGTTTTGTTTTCTCTTTGGTCTTCGCGGAACATACACTAAAGTAGTCGTGAGTATAAGATCTTGCGTCATCACACTTCTTACTATCTGTGAGTGTCAATACCCTCAGGCCATAAAGTATCATTATTTTAGTTCTAGTTTCCTCTCTGTGCACTACTGAGAAGTGTGTCAACATGAAACAAATTTCCTTGTGCAGATTTAGCTCATTTGTTAGGCTTATCAGTACAAAGAAACATGGGTAGTGACACAAAAAAGCCGATATCCTACTGAGTGAACTAAGCGGCCTTGAAGGCGTAAGATGTTTCATAATAAATCATATGGAGTGGATCTGTATGCGTTCATATCCCCTTTGTATGCATGAGTATGAAGTACCGAAGAGTGCCAAACTAGGATGCAAAAGTAACCCAGCGCTCCCTATTTTCCAGCAGTTCTTCAACTGATTTCAGCTCACAAGGAGATATACCTTGGAACAATTCATCGTAACACAAACACAACATCTGAAGACGTTCCAATTGTTTCGTTCACTTTCCTAACCCTTAAGTATTAGACAGAAATCGACCAATAAATTGTTCTTTGAGGGAATATTCATCTGACTGAAAAGTCATTTGCATCAGCCTTAAAAATACTGGCCTGCACCAACCAGGATCACTTATGAGTGGACAAAACTCTACTACCATCAGATAAACCGTAGAATGCAAAACACTTCTGATACTTTGGCATGTCTATTCATCCACTATTAATACTTAACAGAAATAACTCTACTGGATTCGAAATTCTTACATCTGTGGAGTCCTCAAAAATAAACTTATCCAATTTTTACTACTATGTAAGAAATGAACGAAAGAGGCTACAGTCAGTTTCTAGGTCATGATGAGTTCCTGCGTCGGCTAGTTATATGTTTCCGTGATTTCGTTTTCCATTGAATTTTAAAGGTTTTTCTGGATGTTTTGCTCATTTTGCAGTGTGTAGGTCAGTTTTTGTCACAGGGTGCTACTATTTAGCTTATTTTTAGCCTGAAGTTCACAGTTATTATGTTGGTAGTCAAAGATTATTGTAAACCTGCAATCATTGAGCTAATTAACATATACTATGCTAATAATAGTAACAGTAGACTCCCTCACTGTTTTGCCATTGTTTGACAGTGAACCTGTGCGCTGATTTTTCAGCATGCGTGGCACTAAATCGAACCTACTGGGTTTGCTTATTAACGTTGTTCCAGTCCTCACAGGATATATTAAGGATGAACTAGCGTTACTCCAGAGTGGAAAGTTTTGATTCAGCACGCAGCTGTCTTTTTAAGCACGACCTGTGTCATTTCAGAACATGGTGGGTAAATATGATCTTCAGTTACCATAAAAAGGCATTATCGAGGAATAGGTTAGAATAAATTTAGAATTGTTTTAAGCTTGGTGGTGCTGTGGTCTAAGTGATAAATCGTATTAATCACCGTTATTCAGGATATGCTATGAACCGGAAATCCTCAGCTGAAAAACGTATGAATAAGACACAGATTGGTGTAATTTATAACTGACTCCAAATTGCTTTCATCACGAAATAATCAACCAAAGTATGCTTTAAACTGTCGCTCTCAGCCGTTTGAAGGGAAATTTACTTGATTTATGCTGACCTAGTATGCACAAATCCCAAAGGTCATTGAATTGACAACTTAAAAAAGTAGATTAGTTAATACACACATTTATCTATATGTACTAATTAAGGATACATTAAATTTTTAGAAATTGTAGTTAAATTTTATTCGCCTAGTAATCAAAACTGCATACATCCTATTTTGGGCTTAAAATAAATGCATCGAAATTATTGTTGATTTATATTCAGTTACTAGACATTCTCATACATCTTAATGTACTTTAAACACCACCAATGCATCCAAATAGCGTGTGACTATCACACTACACTCATACCAAAAAAATTAACACGCCATTATATAATGGTAAGGTAAGCCCTAAATCATACTGACTGTAAATTTCCGTGTCAAAATAAAAAGATTACCGCTTTAACTTATATTTTAGGCCAATAGGAAGCCAGCTAATCAACAGCCAATCAAAATCTGCCTATATCTATTTTCGGCAACGTCAACATTGGAGAATTAGTACTGGAGCAGCCTTCCCGCAGCACCTCTGGAGTCTATTACGTTTATTGTGGCTTTTGTATCTTTGTAAACCCAAGAAACGAAACTTTAATATATTCTTTCCGTAACTAAACTGATTTGGTATTTTATTTTCTATTTGAATTTGGGATACTACGCTAACAGAGTAAAAGGTCCACCACACATCTATCTTCCGGGTGTTATAATCTGATTTTCTAGTACATAGTAGCTGCTAATTACAATTAAGAACATTAGTACATTTTGGCGTTATTACAACGGTGTAGAGGGAAATTATTCCTTAAAGTTGTGAATCGATATCATTCAGCAGTGGGCGTTGAAATTCCCTACGCAAATCAACTGGTTGGGCAGAAGGTACGCGACCTCGTACACCACCATGTTGCACTCGATTAACCACCATGGATTTCTTACCTCGAAGTATATTTTGCATTTCGGACGACCTCTTTGTTGTTTTGGCTTTTCCTCCAGAGAATTCTGCTGTCATACAAGACAAGTTCATCGAGTGTCTGAGATTATATGCTTACTTTATCATCTAAGGTTATCTTGAGCAAATGCCGAGAGTGTAATTAACTGATCCCGCAAATTCGCCTACTTTCTCTACACTGCATATAATTCCCCTTCTACAGGCAGTCCATGAAGAAACGAAGACAAACTAATCGGCCACCTAAATAGTAGTGCCGTATTCCCTAGTGACGAGATGCAGCAACAGTATATATACTCAGACTGATAGAAAGCAGACGAAATTGAAAACAACGTTTCAAGTCAGTGGTTAGGGGAAGTAAAAGAGTTCATATCTCATACCTGCATCTAGCTTGTGTTGTGATCAGGAGATAACCCCGAGTTTCAACCTTCAGAAAATCAGCCGCCGAACAGAACAGTTCACTATTTGCTGAAAAAGCCAACCACGAATGTCGCCAAAACTGGATAAATACGGTGTGATTTGTCGCTAAAAAAGATTCCGTTAACAAGTCACATGCGTTCTCTCGTTACATTAGCTCAGGACAAAAATGTCAATGTAGTTGAAGATTGAACGATCAATTCATGGTTGTTTGCTCAAAACCAACTTCCCCAATTTTCGCACAGGCATCAATACACCAGTCATCGTCTCATCGGTCGCTGTTCAGAAATAAGTCAGACCAAAACTGTCAGAAGTAATATTGTGATTTATTATTGTAATATTTGTTCATAGACCTTAGTTAAAACTTAATTTAAAGCTGCCTATATGTTGGTGTTACAATAAAGAATTCTCGAGTAGCCAATCGGTGTTTTGGTTCTGCGTCCATTATTACTAAGCGTTTCTGAGAAACTTCAAGGAACAGCGTGAGTCCCAGTGTAGTAAGAGCTGAGCATTGACGGTTTACGAGACGTGGCTGACAGT